GAGAGAGAGAGAGAGAGAGAGAGAGAGAGAGAGAGAGAGAGAGAGAGCAAGCGAACAGATAAGGGAGAATAATAATAGTGAGCTTTGTTATTTTGGGTGAAAAACGAAACTAACATGCCAGTGAGCTCTGGGGAAGACACTCATTGTAGACTTAAAAGGACATATTCATGATATTTAGAAATCTGGAATTTGGAAAGTATGAAAAAAAAAACCAGAGACATCATAGTTTTCACTTCCTTACACTTCATAACTGCAACTACACAGATTGGACATATTTGTATTCAGAGAGGGTAAAAATAGCAACATAATGAAATATGTATACACCGCTGAGTGAACAGGTCACAGACCTAACTGCTCTTCAATACAACAAAACCACACCAATAAACACACGCAATGATAACCTATATAACGGCTCACACAAACGCCACCGGCTATCGAGTGGTTTCAAACTGTTTCCTTCGGTTAAACTCACCACTCTAGACACAGTCTGGGAGATGGTTCATATTACAAACGATCAATATAAGCTCTGTGTGCACAGCATGAGAAGGTGAACTGAATGTACTCCCGCCAATGAGATTTATGAAGCCATATTCTTATATCCTGCAAAGGTTACTAAACAACAAAATAAACAAGACAATCTGAAGTGATTCATTCCTAACCAGAACTTCCTTATATCTTAGACCAGGGGTCAAGTGAAGTTTTGCTCAAGTTGACAGAACGAGGTAAAAATGAACATGTGTGGGGGGGTAGCAAATCAAGTTATTAGGTGTTCCATCTATTACAACTTTCTTCTTCTCAGCCCTCCTCCTCCCATCCTCTCCATCTCCCTGCTCCTCCTCCTCCTCCCATTCTCTCTTTCCCTCTGTTTCTCTTTCCCTCTGCTAATACATTATGTATGCCATTTCCAACACACGGAGTGCTGCACTGCTGCACTATCTGTTCAAAATTGCTGCTCTCTCTCTTCCCCATTTCACTCTTCGCCTCTCGATCGCTCCCCTTCACACCCCCTCTCTTTCTCACTCTTAATCTCTCTCTACTCACTCTCTCACTATACATGGACACGCACACACACGTAAACACGCACATACACACACATACACAAACTCAACTCCCACCAACTGCCCAACCATACACAACTCTTCTCTCTCTCTCTCTCTCTCTCTCTGTCGGTAGGACCGGCTCTTCTTTCCCAGAGTTCCTTGCAGCTCAACTCCACCCCGGAGGCTTCGCTCCAGTACTCTGCCAGCTACCATAGCAACCAGACCCTCGCCCGTAGCGACAGCATCTCCGCAGCAACTCCTCAGCGCAGCGGGCAGGTTGGAGGAGCCGTGCACAGCTACAACCAGGTAGGAAACACTGTTGTACATAGATGCTGCTGAGGATGCGTGGAAGTGTGATGATGATGATGATGATGAAAATGATGACGAATTCTAACACAGTCCATTTGTGTAAACGTTAGTGTCTGTTCTTAGAAAACTTTAAAGTACACTGATGGCCAGAGAATTCAATAATTGGCGTCTGAGGACTTTGACTCTGAAAGTAACTCACCTGAAGTGAGTTTTCTCCACTATTTATATGTACAGCTGCATTGTGCTCATGGAAGGCACACCGAGAAAAAGAGTTGAGATGTACTGTACATGCTGATTTTCTAGCTCCTCTGGTATTCCATCACTGAGCGAACATTGCCTTTCTTTTTCCTTTACTACCTATCTTGCATAGCGCTTCTCCAGCTACATGCAACTCTCAGTGCTCTCACCAAACGTGGATTTGTTTGACATCACAGTTGGGTCCAGTTGTTCAGTGTACATATTTATACAGAATCTCATTTTGTTAGCCTTACTGAAGTGGCTGAGTCACTGTAACTGGCTTTTGAAGCCAGTTACAGTGATCCAGACAAATCCAATATTTGTCTGTATTTGGGAGGAGGTTAGACACGGGGTTAGACAAATTCTTCAAAGCTGTTTAGAGGGAAATCAGATGCTCATCGACCAAAATGAGGAGATGATTAAATGCACACAGAGAAATCTCAGCAAGTGTCTTGTTTATAAGGACTTGAAAAATAAAGCTGGAGATAAAGTCACATATTAATCACAGCAGTGTGCTGATGAAGAGAGAAAACCCACCTAATTACCTTCCAGCCTACAGGAGCCAATTATTTCCAATTTCAATGGCAATACACACACAGATGTGTACTTTTAAACAGAGACGCACATATCTGCGAAATCAGTGAGCAGCTGCAGTGCTTCATTAAAATGCATTGCTAGTGTCTGGGGCAAATTATCCATTTGATGGTTATGAGATGAAAGTAAGAGGAACTATTTAAGGTCAATATTTATAAACCAGAGTATTATTTAACAAGGGTTACAGCTCTTAGAAGACATTTGTTATATCTTTGCAATATCCTATGCATGTTTTCAATAAGGTGTTGATGGCGTGAATTGGTGCTTTTTTTGTGTTGTGTTAGTGTCTGATTTGCCGTGTGTGTGTGAAAAGCTGTTTGTGTGTTTGTGTACTCGTGTTCCTGTGTCCTTTGAAAGAGAAAGGAGAGGAAGGAGAGGAAGGAGAGGAAGGTGATATTTGTCTTTGTGAACACATTCATTCATCTCCCCCCCCCCCCAACAGTCCCAACAGTCATTAAAGAGATGGTTTCAGAGAGAGCTCCCATTCATTCCCTTGATAAGTAAGACATACTTGAGGCAAACACCGAAAGATAAAAAAACAGATAGACAGGCATGTGCTTTAGATGGATGGGCAGATAAGGCAAAGGGAGTTTTTATTGTCTGTAGTCTGAATTCTGAATTATTTCTTGTCCTCTGTTCCCCTTGTATTGCAGTGTTCCCGTCCTCTTTTCTCTTCCCTCCCTGTCCTCTCTGCTCACCATCTCTGTCTATGTGAACATTAGTGTGTGTGTGTGTGTGTGTGTGTGTACGTACCCTCCTTTCTGATGTTTTGGGCTTGTCAGTGTAATGGGGCCAGTGTTGTCAAAGGGGCTTGTTGCTCATGAATAGCTTTACGCAAGCCAGTGCTTGACAGACAGGTGCAGTTCGCATGCATGTGCATGCAGGTTTTTTCGGTAGCGTGCTTGCAGGCATGTGCACATGCATATGCACAAGGGGGTGCACTTCACGTGTGTACAAAAGTTTGCACAAGTGACTGTTTCAGGGAGAGTGGAGAGGGTTACTACTCTTCTGAGTGGTATTTATAACCCTGAGAGGACCTGCTTTAATAATGCATGGATACATGGCACCTCAAACATCCCAGTGTTTTACTGGAGGGGAAGAGAAGCAGAACTGCAGGATGACATAGAAGGGGATGGAGAAAGTGCTGTCCCTCACAGAGTCTGTCAGGCTTTCTATTTATTAGTGAACTCAGCCAACAAGTCATCTATACTCATCATTTATTTACTCGGTGAGTCACCCATCCATCTGTTCATCTATTCATTTAATTGCTCACCTCTTTATCAGTGAGAAGTCCATTTCTGTCTCACTTTGCATCACGATGACTGTAGCACATATGCATTCTGTAACACAATCACGTAAGATCAACTATTAATAGGGTCCTTAAACTCGGTTTTGTGGCCTGCCTCTCATCAGCCTTAGATCTCTCACTTGGCTTCATAACCTACTAAACTATCACAGGGGACTTATATAAAAGGTTTTTATGGTGCACACTCGTCTGGATAGCAGCTCAAATACCGTGTAATATTTATCTCTGACTGTTTCAAGACACATTTGATAAAAAAAAAAAAACCTTTTCCATGTGCTCTCAAACAAAAACATCAAGTGACAATGTTTATTTATCACACTTTCATGTGCACTTATCATGGGTTCCGTTGACATTTCAGATACTTAAGTATTTTGAAAGACTGTATCTAATAAGCTGTTGTTCCAGCAGCAACAATAGGTAGAAGAAAAATACATTACATAATGCAGTCCATTCACGAGGCAGCATTTGAGCCGTGTGTTTGTTTGACATTTTAAATTCTGTTGATGGAAGAAACTGCAGCTAGCAGTGACCTCTTCCATTATTCTAAGTTACACATCATTTAAAGAGATAAGGGTCTCAAGGTTAAGCTTTGCCTTCAGATCATTCCAGGATAAAGGACCATGGTGGAACAGGCTTGTTTTGCCTGCCTCTGTACTGATGGAGAAGATACATTAAACTGAAGCCATTTGTGTGACCTAAGATTATGACCGCTTTGCAAAACGAAAAACTTCCAGCTTAAGTAAGCAGGACATTAGCCTGAGAGGATTGTATAAACTAAAATGTGCCAGTGTTTTACAGCAGTTTGAGTTATGCTATTTACATATATGTCACATGTCTTGGTAACACCAGCTTTCCTCTAGAAAAGATGAAAACTAGAGAATACAATTTTGACTGACTGCTGAGAAGCTGGCGCTGAGCTGCAAGGCTGGATTGACAGCCAGGAGCTAAACTGCATTGTTTAAAAACTGGACTGTACTGCTTCATGTATGGCTGGGAGCTGAACAGCATTGCTTGATAAATGGCAAGGACCTAAAGTGCATTGTTGGCTTAACTTTCTATGAAGGAGCAGCTGAAGTAGTAGGACGAGTTGGAAAAATAGAAAAGAGATAAATGGGGCAAAATATGGTGCAAGCATAGACTGTATACAAGAAGTGGACATAGTCACCATGACGTCACTCATTAACGATTTGAAGCCTCGAGTTAGACATGTTGGCTGTTGCCATCTTGGCTTTTTGCAACCAGAAGTAACACGATAGCGTGGAGATAAGTACAACCAAATATTGAAAAATGTTACAATTAACTTTTATTTTCTCATAGACTTCTTTACTAGAAGACTTCTTTTTTTCAACCAGAGAAGTCGACCCCCTGCTGGCCATTAGGAATAATGCAAGTTTAACGCATTCCCCCATTGGCGTCATTTTTCAGAACAGAAAGTTGCCGTCCTGAGTGCAAGCAATGAAAGGTGTTGAAATGAGAGTTATAGTTAGTTAGAATGAGGGTAAATCATCAACTGAGGTCTAAGCTATATGTACACTAGACGATATAGATCCCGCAAATGTGGCTAGAGTGGGTGGTGTTAACTTTGCTGGAGGTGGGATCGGGTGGTCAAGAAATAGTGGTCCTGTGATTCAGCAAGCATAGACCTAACAGCATGTGTTAAAGTATTTTATTGAGGGAAGTTTTGCGGTTGCGGGCAGTGTGAGCTGACACACACGCTGAGGTAGCGGTTGGTAATGGTCAGAAATCCAGCGGGAGTAGGATTAAGAAAACAGTCAGACTGCACAGGGCTGTAGTGCGCTCACAGTTCATTTTCAATATAAATCACTATTAAATCACTGACTTCATGGCCACAGATTTTGACTGTGGTAATGATTCTGCCAGTATATTTACATCAAGGGTTTTTGGTTTGAGAGTAAAATTCAGCCCATCCTTTGTAGTTAAGCCAGGTTAAGTTACAGCTTCCATCATGGTTTACTTATTGCGTGTTGAGATCAGGGTGTATCCACAACTCAAGGTTGAATGCTATACTGTACCCTTTTATAAGCGCTTCCACATATAGACAACACATCGACAAAGTGTATGCATGTTACTGAGTCAAGAACATGTAAGACGACATATGGGAACTACCACAGCTCACTGTGTATTTTACCTGTTCCTCGTTTTACCAATTTTCTATTCTCTGAGTTGTTTTCGGTGTCTTCTTGTCTCTGGTACTCTACCTGCCTCCATAAACTGTGTGTCAGGTTTTTTTGAAAGAGACCGCTAATCCACTCAGCCAGAGATAAATCAGGTTCCATGACCCCTCTGCAAACAAAGCAGTGCTGGAAACAAAATCCTGTTGTCTTCCGCAGACACGCTTTAGCTCCTCGCAAAGCAGGAAAATATTACCACAAACTGCCATTCGCAACATCATTGGAGATGGTGTGCCTGTGAGTGTGATGCTTTATTTATCCAGGGGAGGTTTGCTGAGCAGGCATGCTTTTTTTCTTTCTACTAGTCTTTCTGCACAATTGCACACCTGCAAAGATACAAACCTGCAACCTGTTATGTGCAAACGTATAGCCTTAAACTCTAGATTGTTGATGGAAGTGTGTCGGCATGTTGTGAGACACTGGTTATTGGATGATCGTATGTTTGCGGTCATTTACATTTGCAAGTGTGTGTTTGCATACGTGTTTCCATGTGTGTTTAAGTGTGTCTCGTGCTCGATATATACAATTTCACAGAAACAGAATCAGATATGAAACAACAGATAAAGATACTGTCGAACACTCAACAGTGTACATTGATATTTGTCAGTCTCTCCTGATGTGTATGAGATTGAGAGTATTCCAAATGTTATTCTAAGAAACAGAAGGTTTGACAAGTTCAAGTTCTCTGGCTGTGCAGTAATGGAAAAAGCTCCAAGGTGACTCAGTCACTGCGTGCATAATGTGGTCTTTGTACAACTGCAGCCATGTCAGGCTACTAAAAGGCGTGGGCGGTATTACGGTATGCTAGGGAACTTAGGAATCCTGCGGTATTTGTTTCAATACCGTCAAACGCTCCGCTCTCTATCGTATTATACGTAGTGTGTGCCAGTAGAGGATGGTGGGCAAGCTTTTATGGTGGACCAGCTATTTTCATTGAAGTGTTGAAGTGACAACCCCCCCCCCCCCCCCAAGTCTCTCCCTTCCATTTACAGCTTTAAGCATCAACATAAGGTAATATGAGACTCAGTGGAGCACCGGCATATGCTCTCCCCGACTGCCTCTGGAGACTAAGGAGAATATATTAGTATGGACCAGCATGTAATGTGTGGTAGAAAGGCTTCCCATGCTCTAACTTTGCCTCACACACTGGCACAACGTTTTTGTCCATTAGGAATTAATTGCATTTTTCAGTCAAAACTGTTTCCTCTGTCCTCCTTTACGATTTACATCGTATGACATTCATAGCTTTCTAGATGTTACAAAAATCAATACAAGTAATTTTATAACAAATGTCTTTGTCTCTATCTTTTGTCTGATTTTGATATATATACGATTCAGATATTCAAAGTATTTGTGAATATTGTGGTTTACGAGATGACAGATGATAAATATTAAGACATGGATACACGGTGGGCTGTGTAATCCTTCCCTCCACTCTGAGTAGGTGGTGAAACAAGGCTTCATGAGAAATGATTTCAGTCTGCTGAACTCCTAGGACTTCTTTGCCTGCTTCTATGAGTCTGTTTGAATCACCCTCTGATTTGTGTTGGGATTTCATTACTAGCTCCTCAAAGGCTTGACTGTACTCATTGTGCATGAAAAGGTTTTTGATGGCCACTGCTCTTTATTCTTTTTTTATCCCGTTTTTATTAACTCTGTCTCTCCCTTTCCCTCCTCCCAACTTCTCCCTCCGCCACTAATCCCTCGCTCTATTCATCCCTTGTTCCCTGTCACGACTCCTCTTCCATCTCTTGCTCTGTGTTACCCCACATCCCCCTCAGGTGACATCTAGCCGTGCCGCCCAGCAGCAACAATCACAAACTGGGGCAGGGTCAGGTAAGAACTCACTGTGAATACACAGAGCTGACATTTGGAGACGCTGACAGACATGCATGAGAATTGGAACAAAAGAACTTGCCACTAGCAGAATGTTTTTTCGAGCCTGCAGTATGTATAATTCTCTCTCATGGTAGATCTGATGACACTACCACACAGTCGATCATTGATCTTTGGCCTAAGGCATCTACCAATTACACTTATGAAACACCCAATGATCAAAACATGTTGTTATTTGTTATGGCCAATCCATGATGAGCACAGAAGTCCAATAACAAAGCAGCACTCGAGCAGACCATTTCTCCCAATCACCCCCCCCTCCTGGTTTCTCCATTGTTGCCCATGTGAATATTGAAGTCCCCCAGCGGAACTATAGAGTTCCTAGGCCACATCCTTTTTAAGACCCCCACCCAGGCTGACTGTCGCAAGCATCGCTACGGTCTAACTCATTATTTTGCTTTCCCCCCGTCTGTTGAATTCTCTCTCCCTTACCGTGTTCCCCAGGTATCTACTACTCCAGCTCCACCTTACCCGCCCAGCGTGTTGGTTCCCCTCTGTCTGGAGGAGGAGGAGGCACAGGAGCTGGTTCCCCAGGTAAACTCCAACGGCTGGGATCAGCCTCCGATGCTCCGGGGTACTCTACCACTCAGCGCCTGCCTTCCTCCTCCTCTCCCAGCAAGCACTCTCCTGCTAATCGACTGGCCAAGTCATACAGGTAGAAAACCCACAGGGACTGTGAAATCGCTATTGACTTTGATGTATTGGTGTTAACACTGATGTGTTTGAAGGCGAAAAAATTACTGTATTTATTAGTCTCATTCATAGGTTTTACAGACAGTAAGAGAGCAGAGATTAATAAACAATGAGTGACTGTAATTGAATAGAATAGAATGGAAAGGAGAATTACCTTTGGAGTGCCTTTCGGCATGCAGTGACTATAAAATACTCACATACAAGCACTGTTTTTACAGTATATGTGAAAATAAATTAATCATTTCAAGTCATTATTTTTCATAGAAATTATGTTTCTTTGTCCATTTGTCTTCCAGCACCACAGCTGCTGTGACAACTGCAGGAGGAGGCGGGTCTCCCCTGAGGGTCGCATCTCCACCCAACTCTACAGCAGCAGGGGGAGGGGCCGGCTCATCATCGTCCCCTCTTCACCAGGTACAGAATATTACAGTCTTACCAGAGTAGTAGGTGCCAACTTTTTTATGCGCACCCTGCCTTCATATTGCATTGCAAATGCTACTGATAATAATACATTGCTAATGAGTGAAACCAAGGCAACTGCAACAGTACTAGAGTTAAAACAATAATAGTAATGATAAAATCTTCATTTTTAGAGCACTTTTAATGCAAAAGCTGTTGGCTCAAAAAAAAAAAATATAACACAGTCAAACACAGGTAGATAGACAGTAAAATAAGACCACCAAGAATAATACAAATTAGATAATTTGTAAAAAAAAGCAGTGTTGTAGAAGATCTGAGAGCTCACGAAGGCTAAAAAAACGAGAGTCTGCCATGTAGGCAAGTCCCAAACAATTAAGAGCTTTAAAAACAAGTAAAATAACCTTATAACCTATTTTAAAATATTCTTGGAACTAATGGAGAGTAGCAGTCAATTGACTGTTTTGGAAGATAAGTTTAAAGAGTATTGCATGAATACGTTTTTTCAGCATCTTTATAGGGTAGGAAAGGCCGAACGTTGGCAATGACTCTTAAGTAATAAAAAGCTGTTTCGGTTGCCTTCTTTATATGTGAAAATTTAAATCTGAACCTAGGACAAAGCCCATTTTAGTTCTGATTTATTCTCGGGAGCCAAATGGACAAGTTTGCAAGAGAGTAGATCTGTTCAGCTTGGGGGCCAACGAAGGGTATTTTAGTTTTATATTTGCTTAGTTTCAAGAAGTTAATGCTCATCCAATTTATTTCTGCAGCCGTCCCAGTAGTCATGGGACACAAGGCATTGTCGTCCTCAGGCTCAGGCGAAATATACAGCTGCGTATCATCAGCGCAACTGTGAAAATTAGGATAAGATTCTCTGATGATGTTACCTAAAGGGAGCAAATTAAAAAAAACAAGAGGACCAATACAGCTTCCCTGAACATCACCTAAGGGAAAATCATATTTTCTTCGTGCACGATCCGCAAAAGTACCAAGATTTGTCTTTCTGAGGGACAAGATCGAAACCAGTTTAAAAACAGTTCCGGTCGGTAAATTGTGAGATTATGAGAATGTTGATGTTTCCTCTGGCCAGTCTCTGTTAAATATTATCCTGACCAGGTTTGATAATTACTCTCATATCATATTGTTTGCAGGGATTTGTGTATTTGACTCAATTTATATTTTCTTTTATGGTTTTCTGCACGTATCCAGTTTTTAATTACAGAGCAAGATATTCTACAGACAGTAGATTTTAAAAGTGATTTGACAATGGCTAATATAAGCAGCATAATAGCACAACGATTATATTTCAATGTACAATATTTACAGTGCTAATGCCCAGTATTGGTATTTCTTGAACAGTAATTGACAGTCGTACCGTTCTGTGTAACTATGATGTGGTGTAGTCATACTATTAATTGATGCTAACCGGCTGGTTGTTCGATCAAAGATTATTTAATTTTGTGCTTTGTCGGATCTTTAATCATGACAAAGAATGGCGTACTGCACCTCTAGATCAATTACAGATTGAGTCATATCTTCAGACAAAAATCTATACATGTCTTCACTTCACCAAATGGGTAATCTTCAAATAGCACCTTATCTAAACCCTGGAGCCTGAGGTAAATGTGTTGGTTGCTTATGTTCAATATCTCACACTGTAGCGTGATGAAAAGTATTTTGTGCGTGGGTGTTTTCAATGTAAATTACATTCTTAACTCTAAGTGGTCACATGGTTCACACATAGTGCAAATTTGAATTTATAAGCCCGCTTTATAAAAGTTTCTCACTTGGATATTGACAAATATTTGACATATTTAGCTGCCAAAACATTGCAATCTTCCAAGAAGTATTTCACCAATAGATCATTTACAATGAGTGAATTTATAATATTTGAAAGTAACAACAACAAAAAAACCTCTTGTCTTTGCAGATGAGTTCGGGCATAGGGAGCTATGCCACTCTGTCTCCCAAACGACTGGCAGCTCACCACGCTTCTGACCAGTACAAGATCTCCCACGAGCTCTACGCTACGGCTACACTGCAGAGGCCTGGCAGTCTGGCAGGTGGGAGTTCACACACTCATGCAGTCTTAACGTCCAGGTGTACATTTCAATATATCTCATGGCCATTCTAAGAAAGTCCAGTTCTACATTCAAGTCGAATGAATTAGTCAATCGTTTGATAAGCACGTCGATGTGTTGTGGTTGGTATCTTAGAGTTATCTACTCCATATATATCGCAGCACTTGTCCATAATTCACGAGAGGCGTCAGAGCTTCTTCGTGGCTGCCCTTCATGAAGAAGACGCACTAGCTGTTCTGCAGTTTCATTTGTGTACTTTAAACTGCTTATGAACAGGTCTGTTGTGACTACCAGACAGAGACCTGCTTTAAGAAGATTAGAGTGATGCTGAGTCTAATTGTGTTGTCGAATAAGATCTATTTACTGCGTCTGGGAGCTGAATGTATTAGGATGACACTGGTCTCTCAGTACATGCAGCAGCAAGCTTTTATTTGCCCCTGCAGCTGCATTGACAAGTTAATGGCTTTCTCTCTTGACTCTAGAAAATTGAGTTGGCTGAATATCAAACTGAAAATGAAACTGTGTCGTGGAAACTTTTAATGGTCCATTGTGTACAATTTAATTTGAGGTTCTCTGTCTGTGCCTGTTTCAATGATAGATAACCCATTATTTCAAGGACTTTTAATTCTCAAGGCTTGTATTACAAGTGCCATTCAGACTAAAAGTAGTTTTTGATAGCCTTCCTTTTTCATTTGGCTTTACTGAAATGTCATGCAATTAGAAAATATTCATTCATGATTACAAAGTCATGGAAATGCAGAGAAGTATCTATGTTACTTGTCTCAGTAATACTTTAAGGGGTTTAAACAGATTTTGGAAATCTGTGTTGATTTTTTGACTTTTTCTTCTTTTTATTTATTTTTTCTTCTTCTTCAATGTAAATATGGACATTCAGTGAGCTTAGCATAGTAAAGATCTTCACCATTTTTAATGCCTCTGTTAACAGCCTCCTTTGCCACAAGTTTATTTATCTTTTTAGATTGAGTGTTTTCAATTTTTCATGCGGGTTCAAGATTTATTTGACGAGATTAATCCTGATTAAACCAGGTGGTAGTGTTTTGAAGCTCCGGCGTGAGTTAAATGATTAGCCCTTTAAACTTGGAGCTATATTAATGAAGAACATGACCTTCATGCTTTACCCTGAGGGCATAACTGGGATCTTGAATCAACGCCTGCAGTTTCATCTCTTCTGAAGACTTTAAATGAAGAAGAAAGGAAAGGTCGAGGCTGAACAGGACGAGTACCCATGGAAAAAGAGATCTGCCTGTCACTATAAATAACAGACCTTGGTCATATGTTCATCAGAATTCCCTTTCATATGCTTGGACTACCATGTTAAGGTTGATTGTACAAGAACAATTTGAAGTCCACAGATCAATCCTGGAAATGCAAGATATTTACTTTCAAATACTTGTCTGTAATTTCAGGGACTCACCATATTTCCAAAATCCTTCCAACCACGAATTATTTGGCGATACTTTGAGTTAGAAGTGAGCTTATTCTCAGCGGGCAACTTCCTCCTGGGAAAAAAACACAGTAGAGTTCATGTGGCTGGCTTGTTTGGAGAGGCACTTAACAGCTCTATAGCACCTCACCTACAGTGGAGTTAAGCTGCGTAAAAAACCGAAATCACCTAAAAAAAGAAATGTCCTCTCTGTGCTTCCTGCATGAAGGGCCTGAGTGATACAGTCCACTGTTTCTAAATGTTGCAATAGTGACACAATAGCATAACCTGGAAAAGAAATGAAGCTCTTCAAGCATCATAATTACAAGTTACCAGTAAATTCAACTGAGAAATGGCTTAATATTTAGAGATTCGGCTTCATTGGCATCAACACTGACTGGTGGTTGACATTGAAGCCTCGGGCACAACTGCCTTCGACATTTTTATAGTTCTGTTTTATTTTTGATTTGCCCAGAAAATTGTTGGACCAATATGATAGTTTCTTGGTAAAATGACAGTAGGTACTGTACATGGTTACATATGAAAGCGCAAGAATGTCATATTTTTTTTTTTTTACTGCAGGTGTGACATTTAGTTTGCTTTCTTGTAAACTATACAAACAGGACAGAGGCATCAAGGGACCAGAGTTGGTTTTTACATTTTCTTATCCTTTAAATATTTTACAGAATAAAATATCATGGGAGGGCATCTGTCTATTTCTCTCTCTCTACATCATTCTATCTTCTCTTCTTAAAGTTCCCTCTCCCTTTGAAAGAAAGAGGTCAGTACGTCCACGAGTGGGCCCTTGTGAGTTAAAAAAATAAATGAATAAAGAAATAAAACCGACTCCCCGAGACTTCAAAGACGAAAGGGATGAAGGAAGAGAGAGAGAGAGCTGGGATGAGTCATGCCGTTAATGGGTGTGTCCATGACTCTAATTAGCACTCCTTAATGAATATGCTGACCATCTCTGCCTCGTTCTTGCTTGGTTTTCCTCTATCTGTCTCCAGATTCGCCTCATTTCAATTGAGCTCAATGGCCGTCCATTTCTGTCATTTTCTCAAATTCTCTCCATCTCCCTTTCCTTCTTTTCTCACTGCCGTATTCCGACTCTGTCTTCATCTTTCGGTTTGCCGTCTCTGCTGCCGGCTAACAGAGTGTGACAGGCGACAGCCTACCTTTTCATTAGCAAGGAGGTAAACCGGCAAGTCCGTTAACCTCCCTGTTGAAAGGAGGACGGCACACAAAACGCAATAGCTTCTTTGCCACAGTCATGCTCAAAACAGGTATAATGAGGCCCACCGCTACTTTATCATTTTCCATTGTGTATAGTACAGGAAATGCAGGCAGGCTTTTGTTCATCCTAAAAGGTGCTTGCACCATCCTATCGTAGGCTGTTCGATAAAGGAGGTTTAGGGTAACAGATTCCTGCTGTGTGTTTCTGTTTGAGTATTCACTATCATTCAGCTTTAAAATACTCTCTTGGACTTGTCTGCTTTGTTGGACGGTCAAAACAAGAAGTAGACACAGATCCCAAGCTGCAACAAAAACTAGAGCATGGCTACATGGTACTGTATGACTAGGCCTCACATGCTTTGCCTTCTGATATGATCTGAAGGCTGGTGAGGTTAAGTTGATGGCGGATACACACGGAGGTCTGAATCCGAGTCTCGAAGCTCTGCACTCGTCCCCCTTCTTCCGCTGGAAAATGCTTGGCACGTGACTTTCCATCGATTGAGGGCTAATGCGATATGATACAACGTTAGCTCGACTGGGAGATCTCTCTTTCCCTCAGTCACAGCTGTGTGTATATATGAGTGTGTGTGTGCACTTCTTTTCACTGCTATGTCACCTAAGCCCTGCTAACTCATTGTCCTACTCCCCCAGTCCCCTCCTTTTCTTCTCCTTCCTAATTTTAATTTAGCTCCGTGTTTTCAGAGGGAGGCCTCACAATTGTTCTGCTGTGTAATGTACTGAACAAATGCCTGCTGTCAATGTCTTCCTTGCCCTGTGTCTGTGGGATTCCTGCCAGACACAGAGCAAGAGGGGGGACACTACATCTCATTATTTTATAGCTGACGCCAAGCAATGTGTTCCTTGGAGATTAAAAAGAATGAAATACAGAGGCATCCCTTTCTCTTGATCTTCTTTCTCTGCCTCTCTTAATATCTGCCTATTTCTTCCTATCTCATGTGTTGCTATGCATGTCTCTTTATTTTTCTGTCATTTCTTTCTCTACTTCGACTTGGTGCATCACTAACTCACCGCTTGCCCTACCCCTCATACACACACACAGACACACACACAAACACACACACACATCAACCTTATCTGTCCACCATATAAATAGTGTGCTGTCTGTCACTTGGTGCCTTGTAACACTCACTCTATAGCAGCTAAAAATAAATGGTCCGGGGTTAAAATGGACAAGTCGAAAGACAGAGGCCTGCTTTTTGTTGTCGAGTGCTGTGTTCCTCTCCTTTGCTTCCCTCTCATTATTACTGTTACACTCTTTCAGCCATCATCTCTACACCTGTTCCTTTTCTTTTACCTTGTCTCTCGTGTGTGTACTCATCATCTTCTGCTACATTCACTTTTCCTTTTTCAATTTCTTTATTCGCTTTCTTTCACATCCTCTGTATACCTAGTTTCTACCCTCTCCATCCTCTGTGGTGTCTATCACTGCCTTCCCACTGCACTGTCTTTCCATTTTTCGTGCATACAAATGGAACCCACCTTCCCTTCCTCTTTTTCTTTCCTTAATTTTTCTTTAAAGTCCATCTGTTTAATTCCCATATACCACCCTTCCTTACCTCCTGTACCGTACCCCGTCTTGCAATTTGCCTTTCCCTCCTTTTATCCTCCTTCTTTCATCCTCTCTACCTATCTTCCTTACATCTTTTTTCTCTCTCTCTCTCTCTTTTCTCCAGGCTCTCGTGGCTCCTACAGTAGTCAGCATAGTCAGGAGCCCCTTCGGCCCTTGGGGTCCCCAGAGCACCACATTGATCCCATCTATGAAGAACGTGTCTACCACAACAAGGGCCCCATGAGGAGTCTTAGCCAGAGCCAGGGGCCGGACACAGGCCCCTATCGCAACAACACCGGTAAGGCCGTCTCTGCATTTGTATAATTAGTTACAGCTATGGAGTTTAATTTTAGCATTTTTGGGGTTTTTATTAACTTCATATGCTGTGTGTGTTTGTTTTAGTTTGAAACTAAAATGTATTCTACAACTTCTCAGTATCTTAAGACTTAAAGGCATACTTTTGACCAATGTCCTTGTGGCAAAGACCCCCTTCCCTGCAGACACTGCAGAAGGACAACAAGGTCTGACTTGAATCTGCCTTTATGGAAACATAATAATGGAGCTCGGACAAACTTGTCTGAGGAGGCAAATGATGTGTATATGAGGAGCTAAATTTACATCCATTTACGTAATTTTATGTCACACAGCAGCACGCATTCACCTCATGTAGATTGATGCTCACTTACAGTGTCAGGTATAAATAATATAAAGATGCAACAACACACATTAGGCCATTTTTTCCCCCACATGAGTTGAATGTTGCAGCCCTTTTCCTGTTTTGATTTATTCTCGTTTTTTATGCTGTGTAGTTACTCGTGCACATTTCCAACAACTCCATCCGACCCGGGGACAAATGGAGAAAGTAGATAAGAGAGAATAAAGCCATTGATGACCCTTTTGTTGGGGTTACTTGTTTCGCAGTTGGGAATGAAGCACAGTTTCACATTTTCTATCAAAGTCACACAGTCACACACACACTCATTCGCACCCGCTCTCTACGTAACTCCATTGTTGCCAGCAATGTGTTTTTAATAGGGCCTCATTGAGTTTATCTCAATGTGGGTTTAGGTACGCCATGGTAATCCCATTACCGTATCATACCCACATGAAAACACCCAAGTCGGTCACGCCACGTTCACAGCTCCCTCGATGTCATTAACCAGCCTAGCCTTAATAGCTATCATTAGCATTTGGGTCAGAATCATAGCACTAAATGTGCCACTCTAGACCAGCGTTTGAGTTGATCAGTTTGACTCACTTAAGAGGAACCAGAGTTGCCTTTAAACACAGAGTAGTAGCTTTTGAAGCACATTGCAGTGCTCTGATAACTGTCAGTGAAATCCTGAACAATTCATACAGCGATTGTCTTTGCAAGCAGGAATTAATTAAACAAGTGCTCTTCAGAAGTGTACAGAGAGGATCCACTGCTATCTATAATTTACTGCGCCTTGTATTTGTTTCAATAGAAGGGTATGAGAAAGCTCACAAAGGAAATTTGTACTGCAGCTACAAAAATCAATAGACTGTGGATTAGACTGTGTACATTTAATTGCAACGCTTGAGGTTTACAATACGCTTCTCCTATGATACAGTATTTTAATTGTCTCATGTTGTTTAAACTAAATCCTCCGTCAGAGTATATTTCCCCCCTTGTGTTCTTGGCCTATGTAACTACCGTGCTAAATCCACACACCGACGATGAACCGCGCCTTCAAGTCACTGGGCTGTTGAATTAAGGCTTGGCCTTGGCGCAGCGTGTTTTAAAATTCATGTTAATAGTCTGTGCAGTGACGAGGGCATTGTCTAATAAGGATTCATAATAGCACAGAGTGATAGCACATAGTGAACTGATAAGGGCTGTGCTGACATGGTGAGCGGTAAGTCATTAATTATGTCATAGCATCTTTTCTTAGCAATGGCAGGCTCACATTATTGGTTCATTAAACTGGCATGGATCAATGTAATTAATGCTGTAAGTCATTCCTGCGGTGGGATGAGAATGGAGACGTTTGCGCGTGTATTTCAAACATAAATTTGTAGTCAGTGGGTCTATATATACGGTGCACAGTGTCAGGCTAATTCAAGGCCAATTTAAACCAGGCACTTGCAGTGAAATGAAGCTCACAGTATTCATTGAGAGCGTGGGCCTTCACATTACTTAACTGGACACTTAACTATGAAGAGGAGCCGCATGATACAACAAAAGCCATTTAAGTGACTGTAATTGTTCATGCACTGTTTTTTTTTATAGTTTCCAGTTGAGGACAGAGAGACAGGTGGAAGGAAATAGGGAGCAAGCAGGACACGAAGAAGAAGCAAGTAAAACAGACACATAGTGTGGTCAACTCCAGATTGAATCAACATTTGTGAGTTTGTAGAGGTCAAATGTCTGGTTAAAACAACCAGATTGTGAACATTGTTTTTACATTTTCTTTTGCTCAATCACTAGCCTCAATACACATTTACTGCAATTTTTATTAACAGTGGGGCTCATTGCTGAGGATTTATTTTCTATTCAACACACTTGACAATTCAGTCAGGTCCAGTTTAGAAAACTGTCAATTGGTTAACCTGTCTGTCTGCTCAGTTTCCATTCCTCCGTACTCTTCGCAGCTCAGTTCACTTCGAAGTTCATTGTTCGCCTGGCCAGGCTGTGTTACATCAACAGTATTGTCACCACATCTACAGTAAATACAGCTGAGAAAATCTAAAAAGGTTTCTATTTCTATTAAAAATCTGCTCCATCTGTTTGACTGTGTGTATGTCTGTATCATGGCCAAGCCTCTCTCTCATGCTCACACCCTTCTTCAGTGACCGTATTCTCACTAACTGATGTCTTAACCTCTTCATCCTCTTTTCCTATCTACCCAGCACACCCACACATCCACACACAGCACCATATATACATATACGGTATACACCATATATTGTGCAAGTATGAGTGTGTGTGTCTGGAGTTTTGCACTATGCATGTGTGTAGGCAGCGAGCAACGTTTCATTCTCGGATTAAACCAGGCCAGCGCCCCAGAGGACTGCAGGTTAATGTGGCCTATTTACAGCGATTATTCCTGCATGGTCACAGCATCTCTAACACACACACACATCCGTCCACATTCATTCTGCTACAAAGATGAATCACAGCATGAAAAAAAAGCCTCAGGATGTGGTTTACACATTTGTTTATTTTTTCCAAAAAGACATTGTGTGTAGTTTGTCACGTCGTTTGTTTCTTTTCTTCTCTACATCCTCCCTGTTTCTGACATCAGTAAAGCTCTCTCTACTCTCTTTAGTGACCTCTCATTCCTTCTGCCTCTTACTATTTTTTACCTTTTTACATATGCATTTCTACCCTTCTCTTTCTTTTATTGTTTCTCTCCTTCATTTCACCTAGTCTACTTATTCAGAGAGCGGTGAAATCTTGCCCTCCTTCTCTCTTCTTCCTCCCTCCTTTCCTCTCACCTTCCCTCCTTACTTCCTTCCTTTTTTCTTCCTCCCCTCCTGCCTGTGGTCTTACGTTTTTGCCTTTCTACCTTCCCTCCTTGTTTCATCAAAGCTATCTTGGTCTGTATTAATGACTCTGACCACTGGGAATAGCATCAGCTCTGAATGGATGTGGCACCTTTTTCTCTTTAATGGCTTATCATCAGACCCGCATGTAGCTCAGGTAGCGACAGAGAGAATGGGTAGATTCATTGCCGCGACTATTTGTTAGGTGCATCTCGTAGCCAGGTTGAGCTATGGCTGTTGATAAGGACTGTTATGTCGTTTAACATTGCTCCCTCCAGTATCTTTGAAGGAGACCGACATAAATTCTTCCACAACCATTAATCACTGAGCTGTGGTAAAAACAAGGTTACATTTTCTCAGCCATTAGCAGAACTAGATACGCATATGATGCAAAGTGTTACGGGAACAATTGGGAATTTGCATTTTGAGTCAGACTTTCTATTAATTTTACATCACATTTTTGGAAATAATACTCTGGCCAGTCCTGTGGTGTTGTTTGAGTGTTTATACCTTATCAACTGCTAACCAGACAACACCATGGACGGTGTTTTATTCTGCATCCACTCCAAGAGCTTTTCAAATTAAGAGCCTCTTCTTGGATATTCTAAACTTTACTTTCGATAAACCATTCCTGGGTCAGTCCAGAGGCTGATTTTCGATTTGTTTTTTGTCTGTGTAAATTCTTGGGATAATCTTTGATGTTTGGGCATATCTTTTTGGTCTGATGCAGCTCAGCCTCTGCCACCTCAGCCTTGTTTTACTGACTCCTCTTCTAAATGAGGATGGCCGCGGATTTTTGCAGATGAATAATTACTCTCTGGTAACATAGCGTGTTTTCTTTTCTGTCTATTTTTGGATGAATGCAGTGAGGGCTATGGTGTTGCAAGAATCACAGAATATGTGAACACACACTTCTTAACATTAGGTTCCTGTGATTAAATCCATGCAGTTCCCAAGACAAGGGATCAATTCACGTAAGCGCGCGCGCGCGTGTGTGTGTGTATGTGTGTGTGTTATGTTTCTCGAAACCATAGCAGGATTATTTTCACTTAAAATTGCAGCTCTTTAGCACCGGCTCCTTTTGCCTGAATGTGCACACATACAGTACACGTGCACAGTAAAAAGGAGGAGATGAAATATGAGGAAGGCTTTGCATCAAAACATTAAACCAATCTGCTTTCCCCTTTAAATCTGCTGTGTTACTTCTGTAATAAGATCTGACATCCTAATGAGGGAGACAGAGCAGGGAGTGTGATGGAGGAGAGAGATGAGAGCGAGAGAGAAAAAACAAGCCCAAGAGAGGAGGTAAAGATGAAGAGGACGGGAGAGGGGATGCAATTCTTGTGCTTCTCTTCTGGCCAGTAGGCAGGAAAAGTCCAGGGCCGAGAAAGTGACAGAACCTTAAGAGAAAAGAAGCATATGTCCCGACCCCAAATGGTGTTTCTGATACTAATTATAGTCACTTGGACTGTGTGTGTGTGTGTGTGTGTTCATTTATACGGATATAACTGATGGATTTTTATAGTTACAATCTCAAAGATCTGCGTCTCATTCTCGTTTCTTTCATCTACATGGCGATAATCTTTTATTGCAGGTGTGTTTTAAGATCTCACTTCCCAGAGATCTAAACAATGTGATTATTCCACGACAGACACTGCAGTTTGTAATGCTGCGAAATGCAAGGGCTTCCTTTAGCGTGCCACAGGCTCAATCACCAGTGTGTTACCTCATTCAGCGATAGATAGAGACTGAACAGACTTCACTCGAAATGAAAATCTTTGAGACCATTAC